AGCATAGCCCTACTATGTTTTAAGAAATAAGACAAACCTAAAAATGTGCAGTGAGCAGGAATAAAGGAAGCCAAGCAAGACTTTTAAAGCAGCAAAATGAAATTACATAGAAATGACAAATATCTGAAAATTTAAAAATGAAAGGTACAGGTGTGGTGGCACCTGCCTGGTGGCTCAGGAGCTTCAGACAGGAAGATCACAGTTCAAGGCCAGCCTCAGCAATTTAGCAAGGCCCTAGGCAACTCAGTGAGACCCTGTCTCAAAATAAAAAAATAAAAAGGGCTGGGAAGGGGTCACTGGTTAAGTACACCTGGCTGCCTGGCTTCAATCCACGGTACAGAAAACAAAAGTCCAAGTGAAGTTCCGGTCCAGTATGACGGAGGAGAACCATATCTGATTCTCCTATAGGTAGCTATTATAGATTCCAGACAAAATGTCAAAAGCCACTGTGTGATGGTGTCCAAACGCAGGCGGAAGGCTCGAGGTGGCCCTGTGGCCGAGAGCTTGCCGAGGTTGCACCAGGCCCTGAGTGATCCCCAGCACCCACACCGCACAAGAAAGGCAGGTAGAAACCGCAGAGGATTTGGCCCCTGAAAGAAGGCAACCACTGACCCCTGACGCAGCATTTACCCTGAGGACACCACGTAGTGGATGTGGATGTGAGCGGAAAACTGCACTGTGATGGGCCTGAGGAGTCCGAAGACGAAGCTCAGAGCTGCCAGAGGGGACACCAAAGGGGGATTAAAAAAAAAAAAGAGGGAGCCACAAAGAGGAGTCCTAACGTCTGTGTGTGAGTTTCCCTTAAATCCTGGCCGACCCCTGACCACACAAGAACCCCCCTGGTGGAAAACATACTGTCCAGGCCCGGATGAGAGGGGCTCTCAGCTGCTGCCCACCGCAGGGAGAGGCAATGAGGGGCCTGGACACCTCAACCAGAGCAATTAACAAGCGATTAGCAATTTAGCAAGGCCCTAGGCAACTGCAACCCCAGAAGGGCCAGCCTCAGCTGAGCCCTCACCCAAAGCCAAGGGTGAAACTGAACACACCTGCCCCAGCAAAGCCAAGGGTGAAACTGAACACACCTGCCCCAGCGGAGGGCAAAAGCAAGCGCCCTCGAGCTCCAAGGGATAGCTAGCCAGGACTGCTTCTGAAACAAAACCCAAACCTATTTCAGAGGAAGAGAGTGGAATACAGGGTATTTATCATCTACAACATCTAGAACTCAGTGAAAACACAGACATGCAAAACAATAAACAAAACAAACAAACAAAACCCAGGAACAAAAAATCTGACCAAGAGTAAAAAAAAGGAACCCTCAGAGACTGATTCCCAGATGTCCCAGATGCTAGAGATGAAAGGCCAGGACTTCAAAGCGTCCATTATAAATACATTTTAAGACAAAAAAGAAAAAAAAAAGGTCAAAGAGGGAACAGATAGGAAGTATCAGAAGGTAAATTAAACATATAAAAGAGCAACTGGAAATTCTAAACTCAAATGCATAACTATCTGAGGTGAAAACCATCTCTGCAGGGGCTGACCAGCAGATTATCAGGGACAGGGGTCAGTGAGCCAGGGACAGAGGAGCAGAAGCGACGCAAAATGAAGGAATGCGGGGAACACTGATGTGGTGGAAGGAGGTGGGCTTGGGGCATAGCTCAGTGGCACGCGCTAGCCTAGCATGTGGCATGCGAAATGCCCAGGGTTCCATCCCCAGCAAGCAAGCGTGCCTCACACAGAAAAAATAAGAGAACAAAATCAAGCAGTCCAAAATACACACAATTGGAATCTTGGAAGAGAAAATATATACAGAAAAAAGAACAGAGGAAATTTACTCTGAAAGATTCCCAAATTTGGTGGTAGACATTAATTCTAATCAAAATAAATCCAAAGAAGTACTCCTGTATCTATGCATAGGATCATCAAACTGTTGCAAATTGAAGATGAAAGAGAAAATCTTAGTGTGGTGGTGTGTGCCTATAACCCCAGTGACCCAGGAGGCTGAGGCAAGAGGATCACAAGTTTGAAGCTAGCCTCTGCAATTTAGCAAGACCCTGACTCAAAATGAAAAATAAATAAATAAAGGACAAAGGACACAACTTGGTGATAGAGCAGCCCTGGGCTCAATCCCTGGTACAGCATACAAAAAAACAAAACATAACCAACTATTCAAATCACAACTGAGTTTCTAAGAGAAACAATAGAAGCCAAAAGGCAACCGAACAGCATCTTTAAAGTTCCTATGAAAAGAACTGGCACTGTGCCTGCCTCAGAAGCACGACACCCCGGGTTCCACCCGAGGATCAGGGGAAAAAGAAATCTCCAGCATCACCAAAAATAAATAAATAAAGCTAAAATCCAAAAAAAGTAGCTGGGCACAGTGGCACTCACCTGTGTCCTGCCTGCCGGGGAAACTGGGGTAGGAGGACGGCTTCAGCCCAGGGTTCAAGCCCAGCCTAGGCAATACAATAAGATCCTACCACTACATAAGTGAAAAAAATAATTTTATAAGAAATTTGTGTTGGGCATGGTGGCCAACACCTGTAATCCCAGGGACTCAGGAGACTGAGGCAGGAAGATCACAAATTCAAGCCTCGCCTCAGCAACTTAGTAAGGCCCCCATCTCAAAAGCAAAAATTAAATAAAGACTAGGGATGTAGGCCTGGGTTCAATTCCCAATACTGCAAATTTTGAAAAAGGAAAGAAAAGAAAACCTGTGCTATATAAAGAGCATCCCAAACCCCCCAGCCCTGGCCCGCAGTTAGAAACAAACCCAAGTGGAGCCAGGCGCAGTGGCACACTCTGCGATCCCAGCGGCTCGGGAGGCACAAACAAGTTCTGTGTTTTGGAATCAGACCTCAAACAAGAACAGACCAGCAAGGGAAAAAATTCCACGGACAGAAGGCGATTAAAAGCCCAAGAGTGCATTTCAAAACACAACTCTGGAGGAAAGCCGGTTTCTTTGGGTGTGTCTGAGTTCAAAAGACGCACTTTGGGGAACAGTTCCTACACTGCCTCCCCTCATGCTGGAACCTAAATCCTAATAAAGCCTCTTGCAGATAGTTTTTTAAATATATATATATTTTTTCAAGAAAACACACTATTAGTGCCCCAAAGTGAAGCTTTCTTGTGAATTTCAAGGTTTTTTATTTCATTATACAATCTCATTAATTTGTGGATACAGTATGTGAAATATTCAGGGTCTGAACTTCATATCTTTCAGGCAGGTGTCTTGCTTAATAGGGTACACCATCTGCTTTCAAAGAAACAAAGGAGAAAAGCGGTTTCATAAAGGTAATATCACCCAGGTCATCTCTCCATGAAACAGTGTCTAGAAGCATTTATGCAGTAACACTTGCCAGCCATGGTGGTGCTGCCTGGGCCGGGGGGCTGAGGAGCTAGGGATGTGGCCCAGTGGGAAAGCACCTCAGGTTCAATCCCCAGTATGACAACAACAATAATAAAATATAAAAGGGGGTGGGCAGCTGGGGAGAGCTCAGCGGTACAGCAACTGGGTTCAATTCCCAGTACCACATACAATCAAAACCAAACCCCACTATGAACTACCTCTACAACACAGCAATGGCAGTACCGAGTCACTGTCAAGACAACGTGCACCAGCACGTGGGGACAAAGGAAGAAATGAACTAGTCTAGACAGCAAGAGACAGGAGCACACTGACAGTCCTCAACTGAATCACCAGGACCCCAGGTAAAATCACTTCCCACCAAGTCCAGTTACTCATTTTACACTTGAAAATGAAAATAGGAGGCATGAGACTGCTGGAAAGGTTCTTTTGTCTTAAAGAGAACATCATGAAAGGCAGCCACCTTTCAAAGACCATGGAGAATCAGAAGCCACAACCTGTTGGCCTGTTTTGATTCACTCCAGACTCACTCCCCAGAGAGTCGTCTTCTCTCCTCTGAGACACTGTCACCAGCCTCGCTGCTCATGCTACAGAGCTCTTCAAGCTATCAAAACAAAGGCCTTGCCGGTGCGGTGGCACACGCCTGTAATCCCACCAGCTCAGGAGGCTGAGGCAGGAGGATCGCGAGTTCAAAATCAGCCTCAGCAACAGCGAGGCACTAGGCAACTCAGTGAGACCCTGTCTCTAAATAAAACACAAAATAGGGCTGGGATGTGGCTCAGTGGTCGAGTGCCCCTGAGTTCAATCCCAGGAACCAAAAAAGAAAAAAAGGGGGCGGGGGAGAGAATCACTAGTTCTAAACTCTGAAAAGAAATTCCTAAAAAGATGACTTTCATGGTACGTGATATCTACCTCAATTAAAAGAAGAAGAAATACTGTGTCCTTTGAGTACTCTGAAGCAGTCACTCTCTCCAGGAACTCATTAAATCCATGTTTTTATCCTGAGACTGGACTCACTCACATTCTCAGGGAGGGAGAAATGTAGAGGAGACTTGGAAACAGCTCACGCAGCTCTGCCATTTCTGGTCTTCGAGAGAATAAAGAGTGGCACTACACATATACGTGGCAAGAAAAGAGATGAGCTTACATAATCCCCAAATGGTCTTCACTCAATCATTTATGTAAATTATATAACTATTCCATAGATATGAATTATTACACTTGAATACAGTTTACAATAAAATTAGAAAAATCACCCTCACTCTTCTCGAAGGTAAGTCTAGTTCGACCTTTGTTCATGAAACAAGTCATAATAAGACAGTTCATCAGCCTCACAGTGAGTTATGGAAGTGAAATGAGTAGATCTAAACAAGTCACAATGCTAAAGTATCAAGCAGTATGATGATAATTTCCAATTAATTAAAAGCTTCACCCTGTGCCAATCACACTGAACTTTTATTCCCAAGAGAACAGCATCTGCACAGCTCTCACATGATACAGTGAGCACCTGAAAGAGTGGTTTTTTCAATTTGAGGACACACAAGGGCTAAGCTCCCATAAAACAAAATGTGTAATCACACACATTACAAATACAAAAATAATCGCTCATTATTTTGGGAAAAAACAATATACTTACAAGAGATAGCAGCAAACTGAACAGGTCACCAACATGGTGATGATGACTCTAAAAACAAAGCACAACAAAGGCAAATGTTATCAGATCACCAGTGAACCAGGGACACAGTGACGCTGTAAGTCCCCTCCCGACGTGGTCAAGCTGCCACTGATTGTGCACCAAGAAAGTGGATCCATATCTGCTTGAATATCCAGTAGACTAAAGTGTGCCCAGGATACACCTGGTCCAATCCACATCCATCTGCAACTGAACAGAAAAATCTGTAGTGACAGTTAGTTTTGACAGCCCAGTCACTACCAGATTTGGTACTATTCTCTGCAATAAATTAATACAGTACTTTTAAAACTATGCTTTCTGATACTGACTCTTCCCATCTTTACTCATGTCTAAAAAGTTAAACTTGGGCTGGGCATAGTGGTGTACACCTATAATCCTTTGAGACTCAGGAGGCTGAAGCAGGAGGATCACAGTGAGGCCAGCCTCAGCAGATCAGTGAAGTCCTAAGCAACTCAGTGAAACTCTGTCACAAAATAAAAAGTGCTGGAGATGTAGCTCAGTCGTAAAGCACCCCTGGGTTCAATACCCAGGACCAAAAAAAAAAGCTGAATTTCAATTTTTCTAAAACAAAACTCATGATATCCTCTTTCATCTCTTTTTCAAAAGTTCCTCTTATAGATCTCCTATTCCCCAGAGGGCCAGAGGTGTAGCTCAGTGGTAAACTGCATGCTTAGCATGAGTGAGGCCCTGGGTTCAATCCCCAGCACCAAAAATCCAAAATAAACAAACAAACAAACAAACAAAAACACTTCCTCCTTCCCAGAAGCAGTTGTACCATTTCCACCTATCTGATCCGCCCGCCCCTCAATCCACCATCCTTTGCTCATGCCCGCTCTGCACCCTTGCTCACCTAATGCAGGGACTGGTAACCTTGAAGCATCTCTCCCCTGACAGGCTTGCTCTTTTCCAACTGCACTGTCAGCAGCTGGCCAGGATGCTAGGGCAGCATATGGCTCAGATTCGAAGCTCCCTTCCCTCTCTTTCATGCCACCCACACCATCGCTTAGACTCACCTGTCTGAACTATTCCTTTCATCATATCCCTCTCTAGTCCCACATCACCCACAGGAGTGGCTTCCAAAGAGGGATCTCCACATCCCAGGAAGCAAGCAAGACTCCCCTGGATTGGAAAGCAAATATCAGAACTCCTGTTTATAATTATTCTTAAACCATTCTTCAGAAGTTATGTGAGGGTCGAGTGCGGAGGCGCACACCTGTAATCCCAGCTACTTGGGAGGCTGAGGCAGGAGGATTATAAATCCGAGGCCAGCCTGGGCAACTTGGTAAGACCCTATCTCAAAGTAAAAAGGGCTGGGGATGTATTTCAGGGGTAGCATACCCCTGAGTTCAAAACACCCAGTACCACAAAATTAAACAAATAATACACTGTTTCATATAAAGCTCCCTCATTAAAACATCAGCTTCATATGTGCTTTCTAAGAACTGCATGCAGAGTCTTTAGAGGTGAAGAGTCACACTGGCTGCAATTTTGTTTCAAATGGCTGGGCAAATTTTATACACACAAGTATTCATAAACAAAGCGAAAATGGGTATGTTAGTTATTTAATCTAGGTGGTAGTATGTGGCCCTTATTGTCATTGTCACTCCTTCCACTTTTCGATGTCTGAAATGTTGATGGAAAAACCAGAGCTGACTGAACTCCTGCAGGCGAACTCCTCTGCGCCTCCCTGCCTTCCGCCATGCCTGGCAGAGCCAATGTGGAAAGAAAAAAAAAAGCTTTTAGAGAATCTGTGGATTATCAAAAAAAAGGGGGGGGGGTCATGAAGACCAGGAAAGGCAAGAAAGCTGGCACAGACTTATTTTATCTCACTATTCCATTGCAGGAAAGAGTGGAAAGGGCTTGCCTCAGGCTAGCCTCCCTGCCTCCCAGCCTCCCTCCCTCACCAGGCCTCTAAACTCACAACCACCCAACAGTCCACACTGCAGTGCTCCGGGGTCTCTCAGGAAAGAGGATGTAATATCAGAGTCCTCTGTCTTTCTCCCTTCTTACACAGTTCTTTTACTTATCTTCTTAATGAAGACTTCAATCTCTTAAATCAGAAATGCTTTTTCTGTATTAAAAACACAATCCATGAAGCAGCTCAGCTCCTTTGCATATTAAAAAAACAAAATCTGATTTGCAATCTTTTCCAGAGGTAAAGGGGAACTAGTACTAATTCAGTACTAATGTTTCCATTTTACCATGAGGAAATAGGAACTTGGAAAAGTTAACTCAACTGTCCATTGTCAGAGGTCATCCACCCAGGAGCAGTTCTCACGTGTAATCCTACAACTCCTGGAGACCTTGTCTCAAGACCTGCTCAATCCTACCAAGAGCAGGAAATACAAGAACTGTGGTGAGGGCATGAATGTACCCATATATCACCAGCAGATCAAATACCAGAACCTTCATGCTAGGCTAGAAACTGAATAGAAACAGGAGGGGTCTCAATACCCTGGATATGATATGCTTTTAATAAATGCTTTTCTGAAGCTGAAGGCAAGGAAGGCAGAAGAGTAATGAAACATGAAGATATAAACACAACAAAGAATTTTGATTTTGTTGTCTAATTCCAACTAAATCTGGCTTATATGAATTGTTTTAATAACCTCACAATTCTCACACTATACATCGACTACTAAGCTGGGCAGACTAGCCCACAACTGTAGTCCAGCTACTGGGGAGGCTAAGGCAGGAGAACTGCTTGAACTTAGGAGTTCATGGCCCACCTATTAGACACAGTAGAGACCACCCTTCTTTTTTTAAAATTGTTTTAGTGGTTGATAGGCCTTTATTTTATTTATTTTTATGCAGTGCTGAGAATCGAACCCAGTGCCTCACACATGCCAGGCAAGTGCACTACCATGAGCCCCAGCCCCAGCCCAAGAGACCACTCTTCTTAATAAAAATAAAAAATAAAAAAATCTATGCCAACCACTCTGCTGTGGAGGTATGACCCTATATAATTGCTTTATGGGGAAGGGGGTCATGATGCTTGCAAATGATGGACATTCATCTACCATGTTTCCTTAAAAAAAAAAAAAAAAAAGAATAGTTTATTTTTAGGGTAACAGAAGGAACAGATATAAAATCAAGCCTATCCCAGACAGCAAAGGAGGTCCAGGAAGTAATAAGTTTCTTTTCCTTGAATCAAGGCCACCTAACTACCGACTCCACATTTACTGCGTGCCTACTGTGCATGCAAGAGGCTGTGAAACCAGGCCACAAGCCAGTTTCAAGAACTGAAGCAAGAGATAGTATTTCTGACAAACTGTGACTTTAGTCCAAGTTTCCCTCCTGCGTTGTCTTGAGCTAAGAAAAAATAATTAAAAAAAAAAAAAAAGAGGAAGCAGAAAGGAGCGTCTTAAGAGTTTCTTGGCCATTGAGGCTCTGTATGACACCACCCTCGAAAAGCTCCACACACGGGTCTGCGATTGAAAAACGCAGCACGCGTCTCGGCCAATCCTTCTCAGCACGGCGACGCTCAAGGCACCGGGGCGCCTCGGGGACGGTGTGACGCAGGGCCGTCCACGACACCCGGGACGACACCCCCGGCTCCCGGGAGCGCACCTCCGCGGGCCAGGCCTGGCGCCCCGGTGCAGGGCCCGGGCCGTCGCCGAGCGCGCCCACAGGAGGCGGGGAGGGCAGATGCTGATTCATTTATTTGACCCTCTCTTCAGGGTTTCGGACCCAGGCCTCCGGTGGGCGCCGGCGGGCGAGCGTCGGCGGGGAGGACACTCGTCTCCAGACTCGGGGCGCGGCGCGGAAGAAGCCCCCGATTCCCGGCCTGGGGCCGCCCTCGGCGCCGCCGCACTTACCCGCGGTTGGGGCCCTTGGGGATGAACCAGGGCACCAGGAGGCCCACGAAGCCCCAGAACACGCTCATGACGATCAGCGGCACCGTGAGGCCGTGGTACGCCATGGTGGCCGCGAGCCGACCGCCCTGCCCAGCCGGTCCCCCGCGCGCCCTACCCGGAAGTGTCAACAGCCGGCCGCGTGACCGCACGCAAGCCCCGCCCGCCCCACGTGACCCGCGTCCCGACTCCGCCCCCCGGCCCAGAGCCCCGCCCTAACCCGCCTGTCAGAGCTGCAGATCCTTAGAGCCAGGGAAAGCGCCAGACGCCTGGGACGCAGCCAAGTTTTCTAGTTAAGAACTTTAAGAACTTAACTTTTAGGCAGAGGGTTGTTATTTACAGATTTACCTTCTTTTTTTTGTTGTTGTTGTTTTTTTTTAGTTGTCAATGGACCTTTATTTTTATTTATATGTGGTGCTGAGAATCGAACCCAGGGCCTCACACATACGAGGCAAGTGCTCTACCACTGAGCCCCAACCCCAGCCCCATCTACGTACTTACTAAGCAACAAAGAGAGAGCTTAACGATAACACATGGCTGTTTAGAGTCCAGGGTACTGGACTGGCTATGAGCTGTAACTGCATGAATTCTTTTGAATTCCTCGCTACTTATGTGAGTTAGTTGCAACTATTGTCCCCACTTTGCAGTTGAAGAAACAGGCTCAGGGAGGCGGTTAAGGGCTTGCCCAAAGTTAGTTATTCCACAGTAAAGGCCAGGAGTCAACGTCTGATAGCTGGTTCTTAAGGCCAGCACTTCTTTACTGTAAATCTTGCGCACTGTGCCAGGTTCTGGGATTATAGACCTCCATCAGACACCCCTCAGGGAGTTCACATTCTGGGGAGGAGATGGACCTGCAAACAGGCTAGTCAACGTGGTGTGAAATTAGAGTGACCAATGGCATCTACTCTTGCCAGCTTCCAGCTGGGCTTTGAAGGAGGCTGAGGAATTAACCAGAATGGTAAGGAGAAGATAAATGTGGAGTTTCCAGTGCTTGCCAAGGAAAGCAACACACGTGTTGATTATAGTGTTCTACAACCCTGGCAGTGAGGAAACCATCTCCTGGAGACATTGAGCTTGATAAAGCTCACACACAGAAGCAAGGTGGAAAGCAGATCTATCAACTAGCCCATTGTGCTTCACTGTGGACCAGTTTGCCTGCAATAGCCACATTTCTTTGCCCACACATTACCATCTGCTTTCCTTCTGCATCATGTACAGGGAGTTCTTGAATTATATGGGAATTTGGACCAATAATCTTCAACATCTGCATCAACTTATCAAGCATGACTTTAAGCCTTTAACTGACCAGAAATGTAGGAAACTAATGAGTATTCTTTGTGCTCATATACTCCCAGAAAAACAGCCCAGAAGAAATTCTGTTGTCCTTAAGTTCCAGTCCAAGAACCACCTTTTCCAAGACTTATTTCCTCCTGTTAGCATATCTTTTTAAGTTTGTGTATGCATGTTATCCAACCCTCTCCTCCTTCAGAACAGACATTGTTAAACTGACCTTTGTTTCTGGGAGCACATAAGACATAGAAGGTGCTCAATACATGTCGTAACTTTCAGTAGCTATGTCAAAGTGCCTGAAAAAATGAACTTACAGAAGGAAAGGTTTATTGTGGCTCATGGTTTTAAAGTTTTCAGTCTGTGATTGGCTGGATCCATTTTTTTCTAAGTCTGTGGTGAGGCAGAACATCATGGCAGAAAGATGTGGTGGAGCAAAGCTACCCACCTCATATGTAGCAACTGGAAGTGCAGAGAGAGACAGAGATGTGGGCAACATAGTCCCTAAGAGCATACCCCCAAGACCCACGCTATGTCCCACCTCCCACAGTTTTCACCACCTCCCATTAGCCCATTAAAATTCTGAATCTATCAAGTTAGAGTCCCTATGGTCCAATAATTTCCTAAAAGCTTATTTTTTGGGGACAAAGCTTTCAACATATGAGCCTCTGCTGAACATTCCAGATCCAAACCATAACAATAAACAATTGTGCAACTAAATTGAATAGGCAAGAAAAGGTGAGATCACTAGGTGTGGTGGCACACACCTGTAATCCCACCTACTTGGGAGACTGACAGGAGGATCAAAGTTCAAGGCCAACTTCAACATTTAGCAAAACCCTGTCTCAAAAAATACAAAGGGCTCTGGGCATGGTGGCAGACAGCTGTAATCCCAGCAACTCAGAAGGTTAAGGCTGGAGGATCACAAGTTCAAGGACAGCCTCAGCAATTTAGCAAGGCCCTAAGCAACTTAGCAAGACCCATCTCAAAATGAAAATGAAAAGCTAAAGCCAGGGTACAGTTCAGTGGGAGAACACCCCTGGGTTCAATTCACAGGCTTGCCAAAAAAAAGTGAGATCAGTCAGAACTGACTTAAAGAAAGAAGTCCACTCTAACTTTCTTTCACATTTCTTTCTCCTCCACACCACCCTGGATTTTGGTACCAGGGATTGAATCTCACACATGCTGGGCAAACTTCTTACCACTAAGCTATAGCCCTTTTTTATTTTTTTAACTTTGAGACAGGGTCTTGCTAAATTGCCCCCAGACTGGCCTTGCACTTGTTATCCTCCTGGGATGACTGCTTCGTGTATACTTAAATTCTATAAAATAAACATACTATAAAATTGACCATCTTAACCATTTTGAGCATTCAACTAATTATACTCACATTGTTGTGCAAGTGAACTCTAGAAATTTTTCATACCAATTAAATAATCCCCTTCCCTTTTCCCTCCCCATTTTACTTTCCTTCTCCGTAAGTTTGACTCCTCTAGGTACTGTCTGAGTGGACTCTCATGCCATCTGTCCTTTTGTGATTGACTATTTCACATAGCACGGTGTCTCCAAGACTCATCCATGTTGTGCAAAAAAATTTTTTTTGTGACTCCATCTCTGTAATGTCCTTTATTGAAGCTAAATAATATTCCACTGTATGCCTAGACCAAATTTTGCCTATTCCTTCATCTCTTGATGGACCTTTGGTTCACTTCTGAGATGGGTAGGCTGCTGAAGAGAGAGAATGAGCCCCTTACTAGCTGAAGAACAAGATCTCTGAGCATGATCAGCCATGTTTGTCTTTTTAGTTAGATGAACAAAACCTCCAGCGAATGCTTGTACCAGATCAACTAGAACTAAAACATAATTTAAATGTCAGCAGATTCAAAGATCTACACAATACACCCCAAAATGATTTATGGCTAGACTGCTTAACTAGGAGAGACATTCTGAACCTCAAATACCAAATGATTGACATGAGATTTGATTTTCACAAAAAAATTGCCTAGGAACCGGCAATTTTCTTCTTAGGAAAATCCTATATACATTTAAAAAGATGAACCCTAGGATGAGTATCCCCATCTTCTCTGAGAGGTGGGGAGCATCTGCACCTAGCCTTGGGGTATGTATACCTTTGCTTTACTGTCCTTTAATAAATCTTTGCTTGTGCCTTGCTTTCAACATGTTCTGAAACTTGTTTCAATGGTGTAAGTCAAGAACCCCCTTGGGCCAACTTGAGATCCCACTGCCCCCTTGGAGGGACCTCGTTGGAGGTCTGGTGACACTTCCATTATGTGGCTATTGTGAATTCTTTCACACTTCTTAAATAAATGCCATTTTTTTTGCTTTAAAATATTTTATTGAAATTTTTTAAATAAAATCATGTGCTTGTATAAGACAAAACATAAGCAAATACTCTCTACTTAATGTTAGGGTCCCAAAAATTCTAGCCAGTTTTTTGTGCTTCGTAGCTGCTCAGTTTAATACAGGCAAGATGTTATGTTCATAGGAACCGTCCAACATCAGAGCATCCTTTGTGTCAGCAAAATCCATAGCAACCAGGGAGAACGGATTGCTCTCCACTTGTCATGACAGCCTGAGGATGCAACAGCAGGAATCTAAGCATCCCAACAGTGTCCAATGGGGTAGATCCCAAAACCTTAAGTTTTCAGTCTTCAGGTTAGCACAGAACTTCTGTGTAGGGTCACTGCCCCTAGCTGGGCTTGCAGAACTCTCATGCTTTATTTAAGGATTACACACCAATGGACGTCTTAAAATCCCATCGCTGTGTGTGCTGAGGACCCGCCAGCGAGGATCAGGGGCCTGCAGGCGGGTTGCTACACCAAAGGTGTGCCCGGCGCCTTCCCGACACTGAAGGGCAGGTTTTGGGGAATACCTAAATGCCATTTTTTTTCATGACTCCGTCTCTGTAAGAAGAGTGTCTAACCTTAGCCTTGCTATCTAGGCAGTATGTTTAAGAAGCAGGAGCCAGCTGGGTGGAGTGTTGCACGCCTATAATCCCAGCAATTCAGGAGGCTGAGGCAGAAAGATAACAAGTTCTAGACCAGCCTCAGCAATTTAATGAGACCCTTGCAATTTAGCAAGATCCTATCTCAAAATTAAAAAAAATGTGGGGGGAGCTGGAGATGTATCTCAGTTCAACTCTCAGCACTGGAAAAAAAAAAAAAGGAGATGTTAGTGAGCTAAGGGACACATATCTGTAGATACCAGTTTTGCCTAAATCTATTCCTTTTATCCTCTGTGAAATGAGAAGTCCTTAATCTCAGCATTATATTTGTGGGCTAGCATTGGCCAAGAGCTCCCTCTATCAGTCAATCTACCAAAAATATTTGATCACATTCTCCAGATGAATATTAGGTAATGGCAGGAACTGCGATTCAGTGACCTACAGAATGGACCAATACCTTCTGTCTTCCAGAGGCATGAAGTCTTCAGGGAATAAATCCAACTCGGAGCAGTGTGATCCTAGGACCCTGGGGACCCAAGGACCTCTCCTTTCCAACAGTGAATCTGTGTGATACTTCATCCAAAACAAAATTTTGCAACAGATTGCATGCAGAAGCTTTCTGAGAATATATTATCTTCTATTAAGCTAGACATTGGGGAATTTTGCAAAACTAGCATTATGTCACTCTTTGCATGGCTTTTTTTTTTTTTTTTTAATACCAGGGATTGAACTCAGGGGCACTCGACCACTGAGCCACATTCCCAGCCCTATTTAGTATTTTATTTGGAGAGAGGGTCTCACTGAGTTGCTTAGCACCTCGCTTTTGCTGAGGCTGGCTTTGAACTCATGATCCTCCTGCCTCAGCCTCCGGAGTTGT